CATATCACCCTCTTGTCCCCAACTGAATTGGACAGAGTTCCCTGGGAAAGGGGCTGGGGGAGCCACTGTCATCTTGATTCTGCCCATTCTGCCTGCATCACAGGATTCTGGCCACACCATTATTTCATGGTTCTTTCTGACCAAAGGGATACAAGAACACATTCCATGCTGCCTGGGAGATGGACTAGACTCTGTTAGCACACTCGGAGGCTGAGATCCACAGGGGGAAAATCCTGCCACAGGAGCGTGGGCCCGCTGCAGGCACCCAGGCCACCCGGCAGCTCAGTGACAGACTGAGCTGGAGCCACAGGCCCTCTGCCCCATGAGCTGCCACCACAGCATGCGTGGGGATGGGAAACAGGACACATGGGCATCTGAGAAGAAAATCTGCTTCATCCATGACCTGCCTGATGAGGTGGACTTCCAGAGTCCAACAGGTGAACTCCACCATTGATGCAGCCAGCTGTTGGCACACATCCAAACCATCGAGGAGTCCTTCATTGTGTGTAAAGAGCAGATGTTGGTCTTGAATGAGCTGTGTTGGGAGAAAGCCAAGTGCATACACTGGCTGTCCCAGGAGAAGATGGAAAGGAGGAAAATGCTGCAGGAGCTGCTGTTGCTCCTCACAGGGGAAGGCACATACAGCAGTCTTCAGATGCCAGCCCAGGCTGAGCCCCCCCCCCCCCCCAACTCTGCTTCACACACCTCAGGGCCTGTGGTGGGTGAAATGAGGGAGGAGCAGAAAGGTTTTGAAGAATTGCAACTTGAAGACAGCATGGAAACTTCCAGAGGAGAGGTCAGTGTTCCCGACCCCATAGTGGACTCCTCCCAGGAGCACGTCCGGCACCAGATGCCGCACATCCAGATCCACCCACAGCTCCCAGGCTCAGGGGAGGAGTGCTCCCCCACTTTCTCCTGTAAACTGATGCCGATGATGACTCTCTATGTGACATACTGACTCTCATAAGCCTTGGCAGCCACCAGAAGTAGGTGGCCAGGTGACTTTCTCTCAGGCCTCCATCTGCTGGGTGATGGGAAGGTTAAACTGGGGATCAGGGAGGACAGAGGCTTCAGGGAGTTGGCCCAAACTCAAGGGATATCTAATGGCCCATTGGTAGCCAGGAAAGAGGCCCATGTTATGCTTATCACAAAGAATAAATTGTTTTCAAAGCAAAAAGCAAGCCTCCAACAAAGATTTGTTCTTCCAGTCTGGGGCTTGAACTCAGGGCCTGGCTACTGTCCCTGAACTCTTTTTGATCAAGACTGGCACTCTACTAGTTGAGCCCCACCTTCCTTTCCAGCTTTTTCTGTGTGGAATAGAACCAAGGGCTTCAGGCATTCTAGGTGACCACTCTATCATTGAGCCACATTCTCAGCTAGGATGATTCTCCCCCCTCCCAAACCCATATGACCATTCCTCAGATAAATAGGAAGTAGGGGCTAGGATGAATATGAAGCACAATCTGGTTCCCCCCAAAATATTCCCCCACCCCCTCTTCCCACACCCTTAGTTGACGTTTCTCTTCTACCATTGAGAGATGAGAGAGGGAGAGGGAAGTCCCAAGAGAGTACCAACAACAGTGGCCCCCTGAAACCCACATCCTCCCACACACAAGTGGTCCTCCAGATTCTGATTTTACCTGACTCAATGTGAAGTCTACACTTTCTCCCCACCACTGCAAGGCTCAGGAAGAAATAAAGGTCACCCATGGCCTCAGCCCACACCCAAAGTGGAAGCTCCTAGTCCCAGACCTACTTCCACTTCTGACTGCCCCTAGTTAGGCCAGACCCACCACTCACCACTATGTTGGTGGTGATGACCTCATGGATGGATCCCAGGAAGAAGGTCTATGTCAAACAGCAAAAGCAGCAGGGTGAGCAGGGCAGAAGGAAGTGGGGGTGATTGCTCTGGGATCTTCCTTGGAGCCCTCCCGTCCAGCCAGATCCATGCTGACCCAAAGCATGGACAAGTCCAGGGGGTGAGACGGATGGAGGAGCACAGGACTAAAGGAGGTACTGCTTTGTCTTAGAGGACTTGATTAATTCCAATTATAATTAATTCCAATTATATTTGGCCCATGCCAATCCCAAAGACAACATGCAATGCCTCTCCGTGTTGTTGTTGGCTGTGAGCACTGTCTCTGACCTCTTTTTCTCAAGGCTGGCGCTCTACCACTTGAGCCATAATGCCACTTTTGTTTTCTGACGTTTCATGGAGGCTAAGAGTCTCACACACTGTCCTGCCCAGACTGGCTTGGCACCGTGATCCTCCAGATCTCAGCTTCCTGAGTAGCTAGGATGACAGGCATGAGCCACCAGTGCCCAGTATGTGATGCTTTTTGAAGGCATTTTGGCAAATCTGTAAAGGAGCCCAAAGGGCCTGGATAGACCATGACCCAATCAAGGAGCTGGGATGGGGGAAGGTTGACCTTCGAGCCATTCTGTTCCCCCAAAATTGAAGATGCCAGGTGCTATTGTATGCATCAAACACCTAGGCCAGCAGCCAACAGGCTTAGTGGGGGAAAAGCAGAGAATACCCAAAGATTGCAATGTAGAAATCTCTGATTTTGCATGCATGTGGTGTGTGTGTGTGTGTGTGTGTGTGTGTGTGTGTGTGTGTGTACTCAGGGCCTAGGCTCTATCCCTGAGCTTTCTTGCTCAAAGCTAGTGCTTTGCCACTTGAGCCACAGCCCCACTTGCTTTTCAATGGTTAATTGTAGGTAAGAGTCTAAAGGACTTTCCTCTCCAGGGTGGCTTTGAAGCATGATGGGGGCCCTAGGGAAGCAAGAGTAAACACAACTGGCAAGTACTATCCCTATGGTGGGCCACTCCTGCCCCCTGGTGGCCACAAACGGAACATGCAGCCCTGTGCCATCATCCTCTAGAGTTCAATTTGGGGGAGTGACCAGAGCCAAGCTGACTTTTGCTCACCCTGATTGCTGATGCCAGAGCAGGTCTGTTCCACCCTAGGCCAAGAGAGCTCCAGGAGGTCCGGCTTTCCAGGGGCACAAGGAAGGGAGAGGTCAGCTCCAGGCTGAGTTAAGAGCCTTTGCCCACAGATACCCCAACTTGACCTTACTTATCACCATAAGACCTGTCAAAGAACAACCCAAAAAAACAAAATTGGAGCTGTGCCTCCAAGTGGTAGAGCTCTAGCATTGAACCAAAGAGCTCAGGGACAGGGCCCCCAAGCTTTGAGTTCAAGACCCCCAGTCAACTTTCCCCATAAAACACAGGTTGTCTAAAGGTCAACTAGTAGGGTTTATGAAGTGTTTCTGAAGAATGGTGATGCTGAAGAAAGCACCTTAATTCTAATTACAGCTGAACTTGTGACATACAGCTATGTGCTGAGTCCTTCACAGGGAGCTATTTGCTGGGTCCTTCCCATATGGGGGTTTTGTGTTGAGTCCTCAAAAAGGTGCTGTTTGCTGAGTCATCGCAAAGGATAGTATGTGCTGAGTCCCTGACAAACGTGGACCGTCCTGGGTTTTTCAAAGGGGGCTGTGTGCTGAGTCCATTACACAATGTACTGTATGCTGAGTCCTTCAAAAGGTGTGGTGAGCTACTGCATCCCAAAGGGTCCTGCTATGTGCTGAGCCCTTGCAAAGAGAGGGATGAGGTGAGTTTTTTGAGTGCTGTGTGCTGAGTCCTTTACCCAGGGTGCTCTGTACTGTCCTTCAAATGGTGCTGTGTGCTGAGTGCTTCCACAGTGTGGTATGTGCTGAGTCCTTCCAAATTGTTCTATGTGTTGAGTTTTTCAAAGGGTGCTGTGTACTGGGTGTTTTACATAGGGTGCTTCATACTCAGCCTTCAAAGGGTGCTGTGTGGAGTCTTATAAGGTTCTATGTGATGAATCCCTGGGAAAAAGTGCTATGTGCTGAGTTTTTCAAAGCATGCCATGCACTGAGTCCTTTACACTGCGGGTTATGGACTCCCTCCTTCAAAAGGTGTTGTGTGCTGAGTACTCTACCCAACATACTACATGCTGAGTTCTTCAAAGGGAGCTGTGTGCTAAGTCCTTTACACAGAGTGCTTTGTGCTATTTTTGGAAGTGGGCTGTGTGCTGAGTCATCCCAAAAGGGTGCTATATTCTGAGTTCGTGAGAGGTAGTTATCCCCAACAATCACACAGACACAAACACACACACACATACACACACGAGTGTCACCATGCACCTGCTTGGTGTGTGGAATGAAGGGGAATTGAGGAGAGTCTTCTCCAGTGGTGGGGCTGAGGGAGATTCCATCCCCAGGGCAGGTACTGGGGGCTGGGGGAGAGTGCCGAGCTGAGCTAAGGCTGCAATTGCCATGGTCTGGAAGCCTTAGGACCTAGTCAGGGCTGCAATTGTGGCCAGTGGTGGGGCGCGGGGCCCAGGGGAGGAGGGGGAGGAGCCCAGGGGCATACTTTGTTGGCAGCAATGGCCAGGGGCCCAAGGGAGCAGGGGTATGTATGCATCAGGGCAGCAAGGCCCAGGAGAGGAGTGTGGGGCTGAGAGAGAGCAGAGAGAAGAGTGAGCAGGAGCACAAGTGAAGTAGGCCCTGAGAGGAGACTCAGCTGGGACAGCTTCTTTACAGGTTTTGCTTTTGTTTTAGGGATTTTAGAAAAAACAAAAAACAAAAAAAACCTTGGCTCCAACCTGCCCAGTTCTTGGAATGAAAAGAATGCCTCTAGGTCCCCCTCTCCTTAACAACTTAACCCACCTTCATTGTTCTGTTTCAGACTGACCAACTAAACAGGTAGCCAGTAATCCGGCTTATGCTGGGATGCTGGCAACATCCAATGTTTACTATAAACTCCACCTTTTTCACATGCTTATGTTAAACTCCACTAAACTCCTTTGTGTATGTTTATCTTAAGCTCTGCTTTACCATTGAATTCATGAGTCATTTAAAACAAAAGTTTAAAACCAAAACAGCCAGTATGTGACAAAGTGTAACCTCACTGGCCACCTGCATGTGGTCTGGCATGACTATGCAATCTTTTGCGGCGGGGAGGCAGCTATGTCTGATGAGGTAGAGGCAGCAGCGGCTGCTGACACAGGGGAGGAGGCCGCTGAGGTGGCGGTGGCTAAGAAGAAGGAGCAGAGGCTGCTTGCAGCCCGCTATGTGCCCGCAGAAGCCCCTACCCCCTCTCAGCAGCGCTGCTTTTCAAACATGGCACTGCCTGCTCTGAACCGCAGAGCCTCTTGCAGTCACCTGGCGGAGATGGTGCGCCCCTGGCCTGCTTGTGGCCCTGACTTGGTCCCGGCCCCGGGTCCTCAGATGCTGGGTGCGGACCCGATCGCAGCCTACAGCTTCTTCCAGCAACACAGGTGAGTGGCAGCCCTGCAGGCCAGCACCCCATGACCCCACCCCCTGCGACCTCCCCACTCTACCCAACCCCCCACCCCCGCCGAGCCAGAACCCGCCTCTTGCTTCCCCTTTCCCATCACTACTGCACCTCCCCCATGTGCCACAGTCTGCCCTGGCTCTGCCAAAAATGCACCCCAGGGGTGGGGGATGGAGGTGGGTGTCCACCCAAGGATCCCACCCTCATCCCTAGCGGTTAGTGTCCCAGGAAAAGGGGAGCTTCAGGGATGGGTGAGGAGGGGGCACCACAGAGCCTCTAGCCTGGAGCAGTGGGAGCTACACAGCTGTGCATCTGCACCCTTTCTCTCCCTGGTGGGAACCTGGTGCCTTTAGTGAGAGGTGGGGAGCAGCACCCAACGCCTGCCTTCTTAGGTCTTTGCCTTTTTGCTGGGGAGGGGGGTATTGGATACAGAAGATAGGCCCCCCCTTGCTGTGTGAGCCCTTGTCTTCTGTGCTCAGTCACACTTTCACCTGAGGACATTCCCAGAAGAGCCCACTAGAGAGGTGAGGGCACTGGGGTCACATAGAAGGTGGCTATTTGGGAGAAAAGCACACTCCCTCTGACACACATACAACCGGCCTGTATCCCCAACCCCAGCTGTCAACAGTTCTGACTGGGTGATCACATTTCCCAGTTCTGCCAGCTTCTGCTAGTGCTCCCAGTCCATCTGGTCTCCTTGTCCTCCCCAAGAATCTGCCAAGTCACCCAGAAGTATGTAGGCTGGAAGTAAGGAGTCCATCAATGTATATAGCCTTTAGGACCTCATCAAAGTCTCCAACAATGCCCCCACCCTAGGTCAGACACCTCTCTGGAGGCACCATGACCCCCTGCTTTGTTTTCTGTACAGGCTCTGAGGAGCCACATGTCTTGGGACCTCTTCACCCAGCGTCCTGGCCTAGGGTTTTGGTGAATGGGGAGTCAAGGCTGGTTGTTCCCAAGGGGAAGGGTCTGGCCCTGGAGAAAGGGAGAGTCAAGGTGGTTCTGCATTATTAGAGCATTGTTCCCCTTGGGTGGTTGCCCCTGGTTCTGACAAGGGAACCCCTGTGCTTGAGCTGGTACATTGCCCAGATGAGAAACCAACAAACTCAGGAGAGACACTGCTCTGAATCTGTGTGTTTAGGTGTGTATGAGAGAGAAAAAGAGAGAGAGAGACCATCTTTCTCATTGTACAGTCAGCATGTCTAAAAAGAGAACAAGCATTTTTTTTGGGGGGGATCCGGTTGTGGGGTCTGAACTCTGGGCCTGTGTGCTGTCCCTCAGCTCTTCAGCTCAAGGCTAGCACTCTACCACTTGAGCCACAGAGCCACTTCCGACTTTTTTCTTTTTGCATACATGGTGCTGAGGAATGGAACCCAGGGCCTTGTGCATGAAAGGAAAGCACTCTACCACTGAGCCAACTTCCTAGCCCCAGCAAAAGCATTTTATTTGTGTGCATGTGTTTATTTGTTGTTGTTTTTTTCATTAATGCCCAGTATGAGCCCAGCCACAATTTTTGTTTTCTCTTTCACAGTGCCAAAGCTCCTTAGGAGAAGGTTTCATTAGATGTTCCTTCCCACCACTTTCTTCCCCTTTCCTGCAGCCCACAGTAACTGCTGGGCCTGTGTGGGTCTCTCCTAGGAGGCCTGTGTGAACCACAGACCAGAGTGGACACCTGCCCTTCTGCCTTTAGCCAGAAGGCTCATGAGGCTACTGTGAACACAGCTGCATTCTTCCAGCCAGACAGTCTGCTCTGGTGTGTATAGTTGGAGCTAATTCAAAGTTGGGAATGTGTCTGCTAAACATAATTAGAGAACGAGATAGGGAGTGTAGGGCAGGGGCTATGAAGCTAGGAGGGTCTGGGAATTGATGAACGGTGTGACATGGAAGATGGTTCATCATGACTGAGGATGAGAGGAGAATCTTACAGAGGGCATTGATGGTGTCCGTGGGCATCTTAGCAGGGGCCTCTGGGCCCGCAATGTTGCCATGGATTTCCTCCCAGGGCAGTGCACTGGTGGGTAGTCCTCCCTGGAGTCCTACAGACTCCAATCTGTGTCCCTCCTGGGCTGTTTCCAGCTGGGCAATGGTAGGCAAGTGTGTTCCCCCTGCTGGAGCCTGCTTGGGATCAGGACATGGCAGTTAGCTAAGGCTCTCTGAATGCCATTTTCTGTAACCTGTTGTAGGCTGTCTGGAAGGAAAAGGGAACTACTGATTTTGGAACCCATTAAGTTTAATTGGGACAAGTGAAATGCCAGCTTTTCCAGGGTTTTTTCTTGATGCTGGCATTTCTACTAACGCCTGGGATTCTGGGTCAAATTAGATGGACCATTTCAGCCACCAAACGATGACTTTCTTTTTTTTTGTCGGTCGTGGGGCTTGAACTCTGGGCCTGGGCGTTGTCCCTCAGCTCTTCAGCTCAAGGTGAGTGCTCTACCACTTGAGCTACAGCGCCACTTCCGATTTTTTGGTGGTTTATTGGAGATAGGAGTCTCACAGTCTCTCCTGCCCAGGCTGGCTTTGAACCGTGATCCTCAGATCTCAGCCTCCTGAGTAGCTAGGATTACAGGCGTGAGCCACCAGCGCCTGGCTCAAACAATGACTTTCAAAGCAGCATAGGCAGAGTTCCCAAGCCAGATGGTTTCCTGCTATGAACGTCGTGCCTTGACTGCCTTTCTCTGGCAGCTGCTGATTCTCCTCCGGCTCTCTCTAGGCTGACCACCACAGTTGAGGATGTCTTGGGGAGCAGAGATTGTGACCTCACCATCTGCAGCCTGTCAGCTGTGAGCAGAGACAATTCCCAGCACCTGAACTGGAATCTGGGAGATTCAGAGACCTGGGATGCCTCAAAGATCCTTTCTTTGCAACATGAAACTTGGGGGCCAGAGATAGTGGACCATTCTGTCTGCCCCAGTGAGTGGAGAGGAGGCCCCTTGAGCCTGGCATTCACCTCACAGCAACCTTGTTCACACCTGAGTGGGGAATGGAGTGCCACAGAACTGGTTCAGTGGCTGGACAGAGATCTTTGAGAAGATAGACATCCCAGAGGCCCTGGAGTCCAGTGAGTACATCATGGCTCAAGTCCTTGGAACCAAAACAGTTAAGTGAGGTAGCACCAGGAGAGTGGGAAGAGGAGGAGGGAGAACTGTTGGAGAGCTACATCAGGCTTTGCCCCCACCCAGGATGCTTACCTGAATTAGATGGGACTTTTCTGTAGTATTGTCATAGACAGATGTTCATTTATTTATCCAACAAACCATTACAGTGTGTGCCAAGCCCGGGGAGGGGGGGTGGGGGGCGGGTCATACATGATGAAAGGTTCCAGTTCTGGTTCCACAGCACATGAAGAAATCTTGGTTTGAGTTGGATACCATTGCTTCACTCCTGTCATCCTAGCTACTTAGGAGGCTGAGATGGGAGGATTGAGGATTAAGGCCCATGCAGGAAAGCCTATGAGACTCCAACTAACTACCAAAAAGAAAATGCCAGAAGTGGATGAGTGGCTCAAGCCATAGACTGTTGGCCTTGAGTAAAAAGGCTCAGGGATAGCACCCAGTCTCTGATTTTAAGGCCCAGGAGTGACACAAAGAGAGGACAGAGAAAGAGAGGAGGGAAGGATGGAGGGAGAAAAGAAGGAAAGGAAGGAAGAAGTTATCATGCAGGCCTTGGTTTGGAGTTCCTGGATCAAGGGAGCCAACCATTCACAATCTCTGTGGGGACAGTTTCAGAGCCTAAAGCCAGTATGTAGGACCAAGCCACTGTCCCCTCGGCAACTTCACGACATCCAGGATCTGAGTGGTTTGCTTACTGCAGAGGGAAACAGCCTGGGGTAGACCCTAGGGCTCAGGGTGTGTCACCCAGTTACAATCTCCCCTAGCTCACCGAGTTTATTTTCTGGTGAGATAAGAAGAAAGTGTCCAAAGGCTAGGGAAGATAGGGAGAGGGAGTGTCCAGAGGGGGGGTGGCAAGAGTTAACCAGGAAGATGAAGAGGGAGGATGATCCCAGATCAGGTGTGTCAGGCCATTGAAGCCACAACCTCACCTGACAACCTAGACCATCAGTGATAGAGCCTTCAACCCAGCCACATGCCTATTAAAAGTCCTGACACTCTGGGTTCACCCTTGACAACCTCGCTGTCGACCACTGCAGGATGCCTGTGCAGTACATCCTTGGGGACTGGGACTTTTGCTGGTTCAATCTGAAGATGACAACCCCAGTGTTCATTCCTCAACCAGAGACAGAGGAAACCAGGCAACTGGCACAGGACAGCCAGGGAATGAGGGCAAGAGTCAGACACATGTTGCTCTGAGACTTCCTCTAGGGGACTCTAGGGCCCCATGACTGCCATTCTCAGAGGTAGAGGTTGGTCTCCTTGCTGGCTCAGCCTTTAGTCTAGATGGCAGATGTGGGATTTAGAGAGGGCGGACTGAAGGTCGAGGCTGGTGGGAACACCAGAGGCACTGGGCTCTGAGCTGGGTTGTTTCTTTGAGGATACTCACAACCCAGGATCATTCCTGAGATGGATCAGCCCTTTTCTCCTCCTGAGATAAAGGGACCTAGAGCCCTCCAGTCTGCATCCCTTGGCTGAGAAATTAATTCATTCCAATATCCTTTGGTTGTATAACTGGATCTCACCTGACTGCCCAGTGTCAAGGCAGGACAGTGAGAGATCTTGAGTCCTTGATGAGGTCACGGGATCCTCAGTATGAGATTGTACTTGTATGTCCTGAGTTGGTGCATGGTCAGTCCCATCTCAGCCTGCCATGACCTAGGACATAGAATCTAGATCCTCAGAGCAGGATGTAGTCTATTCTGTGAATCTTGAGTATTACGTGTGAGCTTTGAGCTCCCGTGTGCTCACCTGCTTCCCATTCTTGGGTGGATTTATGCTAGAAAAAGTTTAAAACTAGGGCCTTGGTCCCATCCCTTGTTTTATGCTCAAAGCTAGCACTCTACCATTTGAGCCACAGCTCCACTTGCAAGGTTTTAGGGTTTTAATTGGAGATAAGAGGGTGGCATTCAACTGCAGTTCTCAGATCTCAGTCTCCTGAGGGGATAGGATGACAGTCATAGAAAAGCATTTTTGGCCGGGTGCCAGTGGCTCATGGATGTCATCCTAAGTAATCAGGAGCTGAATCTTAGGATCACGGGTGAAAGCCAGCTTGGGCAGGAAAGACCCTCAGACTCTTCTCTCCAATAAACCACCAGAAAACCGGAAGTGGTGCTGTGGCTCAAGAATACTGTGCTGGACTTGAGCTGAAGAGCTCAGGGATAGAACCCAGGCCCAGAGTTCAAGCCCCACAACAAACAAAAAGAAAGAAAGTAAAACATCTTTGCCTGCAAAGGATGATGGAGTTGTGTTTGTGTGTAGGTGTGTGGGAGGTGTGGGGGCTGGTAGACATTTATCGCCCAGCTCAGTCATTGTATTAGATGGATTGACCCAAACTCTTAGTTCGCGGCAGCCGATTCTTGACCACAGGTGAAGTCTGGGTTGGATGTCGACCATCGGACCTCAGTCTCCTCATGGGACAGTTGTGAGTAAATAAAGGACTAATACAGAGGGATCTCTGGAGCAGGGCCAGGAACAGAGGGAGCAGGTGTCAGATACAGTTCTCAACAATTCTGTGAGCATATGACAGGAAGTTGCCGGGAAAGGGCTCAGATGGGGTCTGTTACTAACCATGCAACAGGTGTGGGATCATGAAACAAAACGTGGCTGTCTTTCATCATTACCCTATCCTCATGAGGAAGGGATCCTTCACTCTATTCATTTTTCCAGCCAGGTGACCTACTCATGATCCCCAGCTGACAGGAATCTTGGTCTGATTTCTCTGCCATGTTTCCTAGGACAGTGGGTGTTATTCAGTCCACTTCTTGTGGTGGAAAGTCCACTTCTTGTCATTTGTGGGGCTTGAACTCTGGATCTGGATGCTGTCCCTGAGCTCATCAGATCAAGGCTAGCACTCTACCACATGAGCCACAGAATCACTTCCCATTTTCTGTTAGTTCTTTTAGGATAAGAGTCTCACAGACATTCCTCCTGAGCCATCTATGAACCAAGATCTTCACATCTCAGCCTCCTGTGTAGGTAGGATTATAGGTCTGAGCCATCGGCATCTGGCTTAAGTGTAATTCTGGCCCTCTGTCTCTGTCTCTGTCTCTCTCTCTCTCTGTGTCTCTCAGGAATTGGTAGAATGAGTGTTGGAGGAGGTGGCCCAGCATCCCCATGTGTCTGGAACCCAAGGTGGCCCTCTTATTCTGGAGGTGGGCTGTGGGTCAGGAGCTGTTTTGCTCAGCCTGTTGAAGCAGCTTCATGAGGTAAGCCCCTCTGTGCCCTGGCTAGACCTTGACGGTTATTCATTGTCCATCCCATTAGTCCTTCCCTACATCCCTCTTCTACACCCTTGAAGGAAAATGGATGAGAAGGTGTCACCTTGTCGCCCTGCCCAGCACAATCCAGGGCCTCTGACCTATACCACCACCTATCTGACAAGACCCTGGCTATAAGACAATAAAAACACTCTGTGTGTACTACCCTTTGCTGGGGAGTGTCGTTTTGGTTAGGGGGGCGGGGTTCAGAGGAAAGACCCCAGACCTGATTCCTCCCGATGGACATTTGTTCTTGTGACAGAGCCAAGTCATTGCTGTGGATAAGGAATAAGCCTCCATCAGACTGACCCAGAACAATGCTCAAAGATCGGTAGGCTGTTGAAGTATCAACCCACTCATGTCTACTTCCTACTCCAAGCAAGGAGGTATATTGGGGGTGGCCTGGCCCTGGGCCTAAGGGATTATAAATGCATGGTGGTGGTCAGGAGCTCATGGCTCCCACCCATCATCCTGGCTCTTTGGGAGGCTGAGGTCTGATCGTTGTGACTCAGAGTAACCCAGGCAGGAAAGTCCGTGAGAATATTATCTCCCATAAACCACCTCCCTCCCCAAAACCACACACAAAAAAGCCAGACATGGTGCTAAGGCTCAAGTGGTAGAGCCTCAGCCTTGAACAAAAGAAGCTAAGGGTAACACCCAGGCCCTGAATCCAAGCCGTAGGACTAACACAATCATGAAATAAATGAACAGTGTACAACTTTTATCTGACTTCCAAGAAAGATGTATTCAGTTTCTCGCTGGTACATGTAGCCAAAGGTAAGAGCTCCCTTTCATGTTTCCCTAACCCTCTCCTTCTCTCCTTTATCTGTCCAGACTTAGGTTGCAGGACAGAATTCAGATCATCCCCCTGGATGTGACCTTAGGTACTCTCCCCCATCCACCTCCCTTGGGGTCAGGATCCTGGATGCTCTCCCTGCTGGGAGGATAAGGCACCACAGAGATGAGGGTAGGTATCCCCAACACTCACACACATACACACACACACACACAAACACCCCTAATCCAACTCAGACTAGCCTTTTCCAAAGACACTTTATCTCCTTGGATTAACTGACGTAGGAGAGGAATTTGATACCCTGTAATGACTATTTTAACTTGGGCTTGCTAGTTCACAGGAGATAAATGGGAGCAAAAAAATCCAAAAAGCCTTTGGTGCCCATCACCTGGGGTTCCGTCTCATGCCTGTCATCCTGGCTACTCAGGAGGCTGAGATCTGAGGATCATAGTTTGAAGCCAGCCATAAGCTGGAAAGCCCATGAGACTCTACTCTCCATGGAACCACCAAAAAGCCAGAAGTAGAGCTGTGGCTCAAGTGGTAGAGCACCAGCCTTGAACAATAAAACTCAGAAAGATGGCTCCCAGATCCTCAGTTCAAGCCCACACAAAGAAATGGCTCTGTCTTTTTGCCCACAGATTGCCCAGGCCTCGAGCCACCTCTCACGGAGTGTGATACAACACCTGCCCCTGGGTGGTGTATCAGGGCCTTGACAAATCCGGTGGTAGAATCCAGGCCTTCCCCTTCATGCATTCTCAACCCACACTGGCTGGAGGGCAGAGCCTGAAAAGTCTGGCAGCCTGCACAGCGGAGAGGCTCCACCTTTGCCAAGGTGATCAGAAGAGGCTTCTTGGACACAGCACTTGAAAAGGGGTATTGCTTAACAAGGAGGATCTGAAGGAAGCACAGAGAGCAAAGGTGCTGCAGATGATGGGCAACATAGCAGAGCGTGTTCATTTCCAGCCAGGGCTGCTGGTGAGAGACTTGGTATACATGTGTGAGACTGTCCCAAGACAGGCCTGAAGGGTCACAGAAGAACAGCTATCTAGGGCTGGGGTTTTGTCTTAGAGGTGGAGGGCTCGCCTAGCACATAGGAAAGCATGGGTTCGATTCCTAGGTCCTGCATACACAGAAAAATCTGGAAGTGGCATGGTGGCTCAGGTGAAAGAGCACTCCACTGGAGACAAAACAAGTCAGGGACAGTGCCGGGCCATGAGGTCAGGCCCCAGGGCTGTCACCATAAAACAGCTCTCCCATTGCTCCCAGTGACCTTTGTGACAGGTGGATGGCTATGCCCTGAGGCTCTTAGTAGATCCATCTATGCTTTGTGTCTCCTCTGACAGAGGGGAGCTGGGCAGTCCTTCTGCCCTGGGCACCCCTGGGCCCGCTTATCAGCAACCCTCCCAATGTCTTCCACCAGGGCATGGAGAAGCTGGCCCCTGAAGTCCTCAGGTGTCGGTTAGGTGGGACAGGGGGACATAGGGCAGACCCCAGAACTCCTTGTGGGTCTGATCTGCCCAGGAACACCAGGAAATCTGGAGGAGGCAGATGGGAGATTAGAGGGGGTTAGTGATGTGGAGGGGTCCCTTTAATCCCCATGGCTCCACCCAGATTCTAGCATCCCTTTGCTGTCCCTGAGGGAGGTAGAGGGGTGTCTAGGTGGTAGTGTCTAGAGAAGGACTAGGTGGAAATTCTGAAAGACTAAACACCTTAAGCCATGAGCCGCTGGCTTATGCCTGTCATCCCACACCTGTCATCCTGGCCACTCAGGCAGCTGAGATCCAGAGGATCTCATTTCCCAGCCTAGGCAGGAAATTCCCTCCAGAGCCTCATCTCCAATCTCCAACCGGAAGTGGCACTGTGGCTCAAGTGGTAGAGCACTGGCCTTGAGGAAAATTAGACATCAGGGACAGTACCCAAGCCCTGAGTTCAAGTCCCTCAACGAAAAAAGCAAAACCAAAACCAAAACAAATATCCTAACAAGAAAGAAAGACACCCCTTCCTTGCTTGCAAGAGATAGTGAAGCAGTAGGATTGCTGTGGTTGTGAGACCAGATGCTGGCCTTACTGTACAGACATTTCTAATAAGTCCCCTGGTTTGCCCCAGTGTGAAGCCATAGCAGGGTGGGTGGTGTCTTACCAAGAACTCAAGAGGTTGTGGCCTGTGGTAGGCAGGGAGTGGGTGAATGGGACCAGGGGTGGGATGGTAGTGTCAATTATATGCTCTCCATCCATGGAAAAATGGTTTTGGATGCTGGTGACCAAGTCTGAAGTGCAGGGTTACATGTGTTTTGTGTTTTGATGAGTTGGGTTTTCCCTTGGTATAAGAAGTGGCTGCAGAGAAGGCTACAATGCTTGATAAGAAATGTACTCCTTATCTTGCCCATGTAATTGTAACCCTTCTGTACAGTATTTTCACAATAAAAAAAGAAAGAAAGAAAAGAGCTGAAGAAAAAAAAAGATGGGTGTAGCCGGCGCTGCCAGTGGCTCATAACTGTCATCCTAGGTACTCAGGAGGCTGAGATCTGAGGATCACGGTTCAAAGCCAGCTTGGGCAGGAAAGTCTGTGAGACTTTATCTCCAATGAACCACCAGAAAATTGGATGTGGTGCTGTAGCTCCAGTAGTGGAGCGCACACTTTCATCTGAAGAGCTGAGGGCCTGCTGGCTGGCCCAAAGTTCAAACCCCATAACCTACAACCAAACAAAAGGTAGTTGAATTTTCTGCATAACAGTGTGTACAGTAGAAATGCCATGATGTGTTGTGAACCATTGCACACATGTGAGAGGCTCTGAGTTTTGTCTACATTGGCTCTGATGATGGTAGTGTCCTCATATCTGGGGTGGAATATTCAGGGTGCTCAGGGACTGCTGAGGCTTTGGGCTACCACTGTATGTGTCTGTGTGTTTGTGTGTCTGTTGTCTGTGTGTATCTGTGTCTGTGTGTTTGGATGTAGAAGACCTGGGCCTTGAACTCAGGGTCTAGGTGAAGTTCCTATGCTTCTGTGCTCAAAGCTAGATCTCTAACACTTGAGCTGCAGCTCCATTACTGGCTATTTGGTGGTTCATTTGAGATAAGAGCCTCACAGACATTTCTGTGCTGGCTGGCTTTGACCTCAGTCTCCTGAGTAGCGAGGATGACAGGTGTGAGACACCCGTGCCATATGTGTGTGTGTGTGTTTTTCTCATCTCTCTGTACCCTTCCTGGGGGCCTGTCTGCCTCTTTCTGACCTCAGATGGTGCCCCTCCTCCACACTGACCCTGCCTTTAGCCTCCTATCTGGGTCTACAATGAGTCCTAAATTACCAGAGACCCGAGTTCAAGCTTTTCTTTGGGGCCCAAGTCCAGCTGTCCAAATCTTTGGCCGCCTGCAGGGGATTCTGGGTCAGCCGGGCCAGCTGCAATAAAGTCTTGCCTGTCTCTGGGTGGGGTACTCAGACATGGGATGTCCTGCCCTTTTCCTCAGCTAGACCTCTGGCTGCATGTCCCTCTCAGCAGGCTGGCAGTGAGTGGGGGAAGGGGGTTGCCGATGACTCTCGCCAAATCCAGCTTGATAGCAGACTGAAGGCCGCCCAAGCAAGGAGGATTCCAGGCTACTTTGGAGGTGACGCCAAGGCGGCTTGGAAGTGTCTGTTGGTGTCTAGGAAATGTCAACATACTTTATCTCAGGCAAGTCTACTTTCCAGCCCCAGCTGGGCCTCTCAAATCCTTCTAGAGAATTCTGGATGCCCAGAATACAGAGGCACAGACTTTAGATTCCAGAGCCATGGAATTGCGGGAGGAGAATGGTATGGCCAATACTTCAATGTTCTGGGGCATTAGCCTTGACCTGGGTATCCTCTTCTTGTGTACGTTCACTTCTTAACCCAGAGCTGGCCAGAAACAGGCCACTTGTGGTGGTGCTGTGGAAGTGGCAGGAGTGGAAGTGAGATCTAGGATCATCAACATCTGGATTTATGGACTGAGGAGGGATGGGGGGCAAAAGGTATCTTTAAAAACAACTCTTAGAGCTGGAACTCAGGGACTAGGCACTGAGCTTCCTTTGCTCAAATCTAACACTCTACCACTTGAACCACAGCTCACCTTTCATCTTTTTTAGTAGTTTAGTGGAGATAAGAGTCTCACGAACTTTCCTGCCTGGGCTGGCTTCAAGCTGCCATCTTAAGAGCTCAGCCTCTTGAGTAGCTAGGATTGCTGGTATGAGCCACTGGCACCTGCTAAGGATGTTAGTGTGTGTGTGTGTGTGTGTGTGTGTGTGTGTGTGTTTACCAGGGCTTGTACTCAGAGCCTAGGTGGTATCCTTTAACTTGTTTGCACAAGGCTCGTGCTCTACCACTTGAACTACAGTATCTCTGCTTCCCAGCATTTTGGTGATTCATTGGAGATAAGAGTCTGCCCACCCAGGCTAGCTTTGAATCTTGATTGATCCTCATGTGTCAGCCTTGAGTAGCTAGGATTATAGGCATGAGCCACTGGCATCCAGCTTCAAGGATGTCTCTTCATACTGTCTTCTGTTCTAACGGCTGTGTACTTGCCCTGGCCTAGATCTGTGAACTCCACATCAGCTCCCAACAGCCCTTGACTGTGTGGAGAACATAAAGCTCAAACCTGTCAAGCATCCTATTTCTATGTCCTCAGGGGAGGGTATGGTTCCTCTGAAGCCTGGAGGAGTAGGGGGAGGGGGAGGAAGATTAGCTGTAGATGGGTGCTAGGCTGGGAGAGAGGTACACTGTCTTAGCCAAGAAGGAAAGTGTGGCCAGATGTTAATAGCTCATGCTCTCATATTCCTAGCTCCTCAGAAGGCTGAGATCTAAGGTTTTGCATTCAGAGGCAGCCTAGATCACTTTTCTTTTCTTTTCTTTTTTTTTTTTTAGTATCAGTAGGATTTTTTATTCTGTGTGAAAATTCTGTACAGAGGGGTTACAATTACATGGGCAAGATAATGAGTACATTTCTTATCACCAGCTCACTTTTCTAAAGTGTGTGAGACTCTCCTTTCCGGAAGAAAAGCTGTGGCTCAAGTGGTAGAGTTGCTAGCCTTGAATGAAAAAAGGGAGGGACAGAGCTCGAGTCCTGAGTTCAAGTCCTGAGTTCAAGCCCTAGTACCAAGATGTGCCCATGGACACACACACACACACACACACACACAGAGGAAGGTAGTAATGATGAGCTGAGCTATAACTGGGGGCAGTCCAGAGGCACAGTCATAGTAAACTCTTGACACATAAGTTATTTCTCCCCAACTCCTTCTTGGGCTGAGGGGTCCTGGCCATGGCAGTAAGTCCCATGGAACCTGCACCTCCATCTATGCATAGGGTACAGGACCAAGGGAAGAACAAGATAGATGCTGGTTTATAGTCAGTGCATGATTGCAGACCTTCATCTGCCACTTAACACTGGTGAGCAAAGCAGGGCTCTGAGCCCTGCGACTTCTGGGATAGCCACTACTACAAGCAGCAGCCAGTCAGCTGTGGATTCCTGGACCTACAAGTCTTTCATGAGCCCAACTCAACACCCACCCAAGGTGTGCCTGACAAATTTGCCCCCGTGACTAGGCATTACATGCTGTGTCATCTTGCAGCTCTTGCCCCTCCTGACCCAGAAACCTGGTCTGAAATATTGACTTATTGCTCAGATCCACACTGCATCCATGACAGATGCCATTTTGATGACCTGGCCAATGATTTCCGTTCCCCAAGGGTAGACCCTTCTCTGCTACTTTGGCCCACTCTGTAGGCAAAGGCTCCCAAAGAGGCTGCTTTCAAGACTTGTAGGACACCTAGATATTGGGAGAGCCTTAGCGATGCACTGGAAATTACTCTGCCTAGAGCCACAGAGTGAGGTTCAAGCAGGTCACGCGGGCCTTGAACTCTGGGCCTGGGCACTGTCCCTTCAGCTCTTCAGCTTACCACTTGAGCCACAGTACCACTTCCAGTTTTCCTGTGGTTCATTGGAGATTAGAGTCTCCCGGACTTTCCTGCCCAGGCTGGCTTTGAACCATGATCCTCAGATCTCAGCCTCCTGAGGAGCTAGGAGGATAAGCATGAGCCAGCAGCACCCAATTGATTTGGACTTTCACCACAGTTGACTAGGAACTCCTGAAAGCTTTTCTTTATTTTTTTATGTGCCAGTACTGGGGCTTGAACTTAGGGTCTGGGCTCTGGTCTCTTTAATTTTTGCATCAAGGCTGGCACTCTACCACTTGAGCCACAGCACCATTTCTGGATTTTTGTAGTCCATCGGCAAGAAGAGTCTCACTAACTTTCCTCCCCTGAGCTGGCTTTGACCCAGGACTTCTGATCTCAGTCTTTTCAGTAGCTAGGATTTACAGGGGTTGAGCCACCAGTGGCATTGGGCTAGAGAAGCTTTTCTTAAGCAAGTGTTCTTCCCTGCATTTGCACTGAATCCTCCATGTAAAGGAGGCCTGAGGGTCAGGAGCTGTGAAAATAGGCTT